CTCTATGGATTTGACTGTAAACAAAGCTAGTTGTTGGCTAATATATCCACTTAGGTTATGTGGTTGAGCTTTGTTGGGCTCACCTTGACTCACTAAGTTTTGCTGGGAAGCCTACAAAACTGGGTGTTTACTAATGGATGATTGGCATTGAGCCCTAAGGCTACTATAGTGACTAGACATTTGAGATTGACCTCGGTTAGCTGAATTAGGTGCTTGTGTTCTAGGTTGGGTAGTTTACTCTTGGGACCCCTCCTATCGATAGTGTTAGACCCAAAGAGGGTGCAGAGCCCATGATTACTACTAGATGGTGTACGCCCTTTGAGGCATGACTAGACTCGAATGTTGATGACTAGAGTCGGAACCCTAGCTAGGTTCTCTAATCCTAGTATGTAGTTCTTGGTTTGGGTGACTAGTTGGTTGTTGACTCTTAGGGATAACTTGATCTAGGTTGGCTGCTCAAGGTTATTAGGGGTTTGAATTTCTGGCCTAGCTTTACCATTGCAACTCGGTTCAAGAGTAAAGCCCTGATTAGCTAGGTCTTTCATAAACACTTGCACCTTAAGGATTTCCTGGAGTTTACTTAAATCGGGATCCTAACTCTTATTGGTGTTAGGTTGAGAGGCAGGTCGCCCCTAGTAGTATCATGGTGGCTAGAGACAACGCTAGGTGCCTCAGAATTATGTGAACCCTGAATCACTAGACCTCTGACTGGCTGGTTAACAACGTTAGAGTAATGGGGCGGTAACGCGCTATTAGGGCTAACTTGGCTCAGGTCGGCTGACCCAAGGGTTTTAAGGATTTGGAGGAGTGGTCACAGTTGAAGTAGTGCAATCCCCAACTATCATGTTCCCTACAACTAGGTGTCCTCACAACTTTAATGCCGATTATGGGGGTTTCAAAAAAGATTTGAAATAAAGATTTTAAGAGGAAGGTTTGTGCAAGATGTGGTGGAAAAGAATGCTTGTGTGCGTGTCTGGCAACGCACAAGCAAGCAAATAAATTGTATGAAATTTTTTTAAAAAAATACAACTATGACAAGGAAAAAAAGAAGGGAAAGGTTATTGTGCTTCCCCTACAACGTAGAAGTTCTATCCTACCCCTACCATCCAGCTGTCCAATTTTGATCAAGAGAGCCACTCACCGTTTGATCTTAGATCCAACGTCTCAAATTATTTTATTTTTAGTTTTTTTTTTACAAATTGTATGAATATGAAATTTGGTATGTGCCATCTTCTCATTGAGGCGTACCTATAAAAAATATTAAAAATAATTTTTCGATAAAATACAATGATCAAAATACCCCTTGAAGCTTTCAGGGGTATTTTGGTTATTTTATTTTATTGAAAATATTTTTTTATATTTTTCGCTAGTACGAGTTTAATAGAGGAATGGACTTCCAAAATTTAGTGTCAAATTCGTTTATAGAAAAAAATTAAAAATAAAATAGTGTAGATGCATGACATTGTGATTGGGACAATCTTAACCCTCCATTCAAAATGGAGGTGGATAAGGGAGAGGATAGATGTAGGGGAAGCATAAAAAAGCTTGTCCAAAAAAAAAAGATAAATTTATTTATTTATTTTCTTTCATCTTTTTTTTATTCTTTTGGAACTAAAATAAAAAGAACATAAAGGATCGGATCGGGGGCTGTCATAAACTTTTGGAGCCTGGATCTAAGCTGCGATGCATACTGTGTCGCAGTCTTGACTGCTACTTATGATGTACTACGCATCGCCGTGGGTTGTAACCCAGAATTTGATCTGTGGCACAGTGTGCTTCGCAGAGCTGACCATTTTCTATGACTCTCACTGCATCAAAAAGCGAGACCTTCCTGGATCCTCAGATTTTTTATTTGTGCTTCAAATTAAACAAGACCATCTCTATTTTGTGCTTCAAACAAAGCGACTAGATTATGGAGAATAGTGGGATTTGTTGATTTACAGCATTTGGAAAGATAGATCTGCATAAAAGTCCTTGCTTCATACGATATCAGTAGAACCGGATTGGAATTGCATAAAAACCAAGAAAACCAGAAAATAAACTTAAATTAAACTAAAGAAAAGAAGAATAAACTACCTGAACCGGGTCAAGAAAATTGAGTCCAGGGTTTTCTCTAGGCTCTAGGTCTTCTTTATCCTAAGGGTCACTTTAAATCAGGGATTTAAGTTATGGGTTTTTTATACAGCTTCAATTGACTCTAGTTCAATTCGGATTTGGACTTCTAAGATCTATCTCTAGGTTTGATAGGATTTGACCGGTTGACCGGTCAATTCTACCAAGCATATGACTTCAGAAAATTTCCAAACAATTGGTTCTAGAAATAGAATCGGAGGTCAGGCCCAGACAAATAGGTCATCATCTCAACTGGACCGGGCTTCCCAAAAAATATATTATTTTTTGTTTTAAATAATATATTGATCTGAATTTTAGGATCTAGTTTATTTTTATGAATATAACTAAATAAAAGTCATAAAAAAATACTTCAAATACAAATAACAAAAATACTCCTAAATTTATTTTGATCAATATTTTTTATTCAAAATATTTTAATACTTTTATCAATTCTACTTATAAATTTCAAGATAAAGTCCAAATTTCATGTTAATATTATTTTTGAAAAATGATCTCTACCCCCTCCCCGAAATTTCCGTCCTTACATTAGCCCATTAGGATCACCAAAATCACTTGTATCCCCTCAAATTTAAAACTCTAGAACCATTAGCCCCCTAATTGTGTTTTTATTTCTCCTTTATGTAGAGATTGAAGATCAGATCTTGTATTTATTTATTATATATGGAAAGTGTATATCTCATAGAAGTTACTCATTGTAGTTTATCTTGTTGTCTTTGGTTGTATTATAAATACGTGTTAATAATGGTCAAGAGAGATAAATTTTTCCTCAGCTTCTTTGTGTGTTTTACATAGTATCAGAACCATAGGTATCAGAGACCTACTGCTCAATTGAATCTTCTACGTAAGGATTGATCTGTATCTCTAAAATCCTCTGGTCTGAGCCCTACTATCGGTTAGTTCATGAACAGTCGATTAACGATTCGAGTGGGTTGCTTCCATTGCAAAGCTTTTGTTTCCGTTTCCAACTTTGAATTCACATGTTTCCTGAATAGCCGATCAATGATCCGGGTGAGTTGCTTCCGTCCTTACTATGCAAATTTTTCGTCCTTTGCTTTGAAAATCCCATCGAGTTTGCTTTTCTCTGAGCCCCGTCACAATTTTGCACTACATAATCTTGTTACAAATTTACAAAGAAAGTCCGTCAAAATCGTGTTGCATATTTGCAAAGCAAATCCGTCAAAATAAGTTTGGTTCATGTCACAAATTTTGCTGAGAAAATTTACAAAGCAAATCCATCAAAATAAAATTGTCCAATTTATCCCGTTTCTCTCTAGACCAAGTTTTGTCCAAGGTACTTCCATTGAAAACCTTGTATCATTTATTGTTCTGTCAAGTTGTTCCGTCTCTACATAAAGTTGTTGCACCAATATTTTTTATTTGCACCACTTGGAATAACGGCATCCGCCAGAAAGATAGACATCCACCTCAACCATTGGAATGCCTCTGCTATTGAAAGATCTGCCTACCTTAACGGACGTGGCTGGTTTTATTCTTTGAAGAAATAAAAATTCTTCTCCCCGAGTAGATCTAGAGCCCTCAATTATTCAATTGGTTTGCAAATTCCATGCTTTTTGGTTTTTTTGATCATATCCCTTTGAAAATTTATATTTTTTGGTTCTCTCTCTTTCATTGACAGATATGGTATTCTGTTGCTTTTTCTTTTTTGGTTCTTCAAATCTTGTTTTTTTCTTTGTTGCTTCCTTTAGTTAATTAATTCTCTCTAACTTCCTTTGATCCCTCTTAATTTTGTCTTTACTTCAAAACTCGCATTTGGGTTTTGATCTCATATCCAAGTTCTTGATCACGTCTGAGAGTGCTCATATAATTTTTAACATGGCTTTGGAAAAATGAGATATCTTGGCTATAAAACTTGATGGGAAAAACTATCTTGATTGGTGGTTTCATTTTCAGTTTTTTGTTGAAGGAAAAGATTTGTGGGGGTTTATTGAGGAAATTGAACCCTAACCTGATCCATCCAATACTAAAGAAACCCAACAATTTAAAATCTACAATGCAAAAATTGTTTCATGGATCATCGGCTCTGTGGATATGGACATTGCAAGACCAATGAAAGGCTTCCGCACTACGAAATAAATGTATCTAGAAAATATTTACTAGCATTCAAATCTTACCCGGTGATTCCGAATCGAATATGATATGTTTACGTATGGACAAGGGAAGAAAAACATCCACAAATATTATGTTAGTTTTTTGAACTTGTGGAGAGAATATGAATCTGTAAGTATAACGACTATCACCAGTGTTTGTTGCATTACAAATTTAAAAACGATAAATGATGACAAGAAGGTGATGTAGTTCATAATGAAGTTTCGCTCAGAATATGAGATCATTCGAGTCAATCTTTTGAATCGTGAAATATTGCCCAATATATATATATATATATATATATATATATATATATATGTTTTTAAAATTATTTTAACACTTTTTTTTTCTGAAAAAGTTTATATAAGGTTGCAACTTTAAAATGTAGAATTACATATGCACCTCAAAAATCCGTCAAAGAATGTTGTTTTAATGTTGAAAAACTCTTCAATTGATCATCTCGACATCGAGAGATATGAATATGAAAAAAAAAAAAATCAAATTCTAAAAATAGTATATCTTCCAATACATTATTTAGACTGTCAATTTTCAAGATTTTCAAAAGTTTATAGATTTACTTGATTTTAACTATTTTAGAGTTTAAAATTTTATAATTAAATATAAAAATAAATTTTCAGATAATCTTCAAAAAAAGTTGCACGAAACTTGCAAGATAAAATTTGGAGGTCCGTCTTAACTGGATTGTTTAAGGTTGCAACCTTATGGAAACCACACCCTCTTTTTTTTTCTACAGTCTGTACTAGCCGAGTTAGAACGGTTGAACCCACGGGTTTACCGGTTAGGCCAATTGAATTGCTTCCGGGGCCATGTCCGGTTGACGCTTTTCGATTTGATCTTTCGGACACTGCCCTCTGCAAAACACGCCAGATTTGATCTTTCCTACTGCTCTCTGCAAAACACGCACGCGAACGTAGAGAAGGCGAAAAGATGGCGAGGCCCAAGATTGTGTTGTTTGGGGATTCTATAACCCAGCGATCTTTCGAACCAGGAGGTTGGGGCGCCGCTCTTACCAACACTTTCTCCCGCAAGGTTCGTCTCTGTGTGTGTAAAAACTTACTTGTTGTCTTGATTGTTACTAATCAAAATGGCGGTATCATATTGTCTCTGGTTCATGGTCTCTCTCTCTCTAAAAACTTGTTGTCTTGATCTTCATTAATCAAAATGCCGGTATCATCTGTTTCTTTGCTTTAATGTGCAGGCTGATGTGATTGTACGTGGATATGGTGGATATAACACCAAATTGGCTCTGTTTCTTCTCGATGAGACATTCCCCACTGTAAGTATACCAACTCCAACTCTCCCTCCTTCTCTCTCTCTCATGTCTGTGTTTTGCTAGAAATGGATTTGGGGTCGATTGTTTGATTCAGACATTATTTATGTCCATATAGCTGAAAAAAACTTTCCTTTTGGTGGATTGCGAGTGGAACTAATTCATTCATGGTTGGAACTTGGAAAAATTGTTTCTAGGATGGATGATCTGTTTGTTCTTGTGTTTATCAATCAAGCATGGAATGATACTAGATTTGAATTGTATTGATCTTTTCTTTCTTCAATGTTTTCTATTTTGGGTCGAATTCCAGAGGTTTGTTGCTACATGGTTGAATTTCTTTAGCAAATAATTGTGAATTGAATAAGCATAGCTGAGAATGTTTTCTCTTTGATTCCTGATAGAACAAAGGAAGCTTGTATGAAACAAAAAGCAAAATCCATAGGAAAAGAAATGAAGAAAAAGAGCAATAAAATTGAAATGAAGAGAGATTTTCCCTTGGAATCCCTTCCTGAGAGAGGCACCTTAGCTTTTCTAAGAACCCAAATATCTATTCAATGATGTTTCTCAAAAAAAAACTATATATATATATATATATATATATATATATATATATATATATATATATATATATATTACTTA